ACTATGCAGTTAATAGATGTTTGCAGCTCATTTCAGTTCTTGCATAAACAATAGTGTGTGTGAGAGAGAGAGAGAGATTCTGATCACAGGTATGACTCAAAAATGAATGCATAATCAATTACCCTTTGGAAGATTTCATCAAATTCTTCAAAACAATGGTTTGTGTGTGTGTTTCACAAGTATGATGATTATTTTAGCATCAAGATTAAGACTACATATCATTTCTCTGGGTTCATGGAATATTAGTTTCATAATGAGCAAATCCAAACCCCAACGGATATTGGGATTCACTGTAGCCTCATAGTCAACATTGGTGACACTCGTACCACAAAACAAATGATGACAATTAGACACTTTTGCATTGAAATAGTTGCAGCCCAATGGGTGTCACCAAAACAGAAACTCAATTTGCATTTAGGAAACATTTGTTTCATGTTCACCGTTCAAATCAGATTGATAGAACCTGGAAAATTAGGAATGCCAGATACTAATTTTGAGGTATGTTTGCATCTTTTCTGCAGCTTGACGTTACCACTCCGATAATTATCACAGGACACTCTATAGGGGGATCCATTGCCTCCCTCTTCACCTTATGGCTGCTTGAAAGCATTTCTCCAAAGGGGAAGGCCATCAAGCGCCCCCTTTGCATCACTTTTGGATCACCCCTTGTTGGGGACTATGGCTTCCAACAAGCTATACTCGAACGCCCAACTTGGACTTCTTGTTTTCTGCATGTAGCCTCCAACTGTGATCCGATCCCCAAACTTTTTGTCTCAACTTCCCAAAATGGAGGTTACCAGCCATTTGGTACATTTCTCTTGTGTTCTGAATCCGGCTGTGCCTGTTTTGAGGAACCTGAATCAGTTTCGGAATTGCTAGTGGCAATGAGGTCGGATGGTGTTGGAAATCAAGATCCTAACAACTATACTAGGATTTTGGAATGCCTCAAATCGAAGGCAATCTGTAAGGGGAGTTCAGGTCTGACTGGCATGTCAAGTACTCTTCGCGGAGGAATTATCACACAACTAGAAGCAATTGGTATTAAGACCTCACAGGTAATTCTATCCTATTTCTATTTGATTCATTCTCTTTGGATATCATCAAAATAATGGCATTCTCTCATGTTGAAGCAGAATTTGTTATGTTTAAACTTTTTGTGTCCTTTCTGATATCTCTAACACCTCATTTTTCCAAATAGCAGCCGCAATGGGCAGCTAGTGACATCAACGCTCCCATAACAAAAATTGAAGAAAGAACAAAGAATCTTATAATTCAGAAGAGATCTGCTTTTGATCCCAACAAAAAACTAAATGACAGGAAAATAGACATGGCGTACCTTGAATGGTACAAGAAGGTCAGCACGGGTAATAGAGGCTACTACGATAGTTACAAGAACGTGTTGGACCAAAGCCGGGGAACTATTGTGATGCACCACAGAAGACTCACCCTTTACTGGAAGACTATGGTTGAAGAGGCAGATAAGTTGCCCCAGAAGGAGGGAGCATCCTTTCGTACTCGGTGGCTCTATGCAGGAACAGCCTATAGAAGGATGGTTGAACCACTTGACATAGCTGATTACTATAGGAAAGGTAAAAGGGACTACAAAACTCAAGGAAGATCTGAACATTATGTCTTCTTGGAGAAGTGGCTTAATGATGCCCCTCGAAACAGTGCAAGTGTGAGAACTGCAGCTTCCAGTCTTACTGATGATTCTTGCTTTTGGGCACATGTTGAGGAGGCTATGATTTCATGCAAATTGCTGCAGGCTAGAGAAACCAGTGAGGCAGATAAGGAATCCTCGAAGGTGAAGTTGATTGAGTTTGATCGCTACGCGATGAATTTGATAAACAATTTTGAGGTATCCACTGAGGTTTTCTTGGAGCAGAGCAGTTTCATGAGATGGTGGAGGGAATATGAGGTGATAATGGGAACTTCATATAATTCAGAACTCATTGATTTCATAAGGAGTGGCAGATATAAACAATATGTTTAGTGTTGGGGTTCTTCTGATGCATAAGCCTAAATAGTTAAGCTTGTGTGAATCCAGTTTTTGTGCTATATGTTTATGGACTTGGCTTTGGCAATTGCTCTGTACTTGAATGTTTTTCCACTTGAATAAAAAAAAAAAAAAAAAAAAAACTAGATTTCTTTCTTTTCTTGTCTACTTAATTCTCTATTCACCTTTCTTTATCAATTTGAATTTATATTACATCCAATGTTGGTAAAGGAAACACTTGGACACATACTTTTGTTTAATCAATGACATCTTCATTTGTTCACTGACATGAGAAGAATTGCCTTTTTCCAGCATTTCTCTCAATGTTTATCAATTATAATTCATATATAAATGCCTACTTTTATGTTTCTTGATCAGGTCTAAAAATATGAGCAGAAAACACATACACACACAAAAGAAGTCTACAGCTCAAAAGATCATTTGATCTTTGGTTTTCATTGACTTGTCCATGATTCCAAACTTTTCTAAAATTGTATTGTTGACTAATAAAGACAGATCATGAATAGGTGTTTATGAATGAACTCATTAAGATGAGCAAGCATGACTTGCTTATCAAGATTTTTTTTTGCGACTGTTTTTCAAATATGCTTGAAACAGAACTTGAAACTGGTTTAACTATTCAATTGACCTAAGCTTTCACTAGAAATGTTAATTCTGAATTCACACTTCATTTCTAAACTCAACTCGAGCTTTAGTTTAGATATAATGGACTTGACTGGAATAGTCATTTTTTCTTTTGCCATAAGCTACTTAGTAATTTAGATGTTTTTAAATTTTTTTTTTTAATATAAAAAATCGCCCAATTTAAAGTGGGTTTTGAGAACCGTTTACTTAAATGAGGTAGGGATGGGGGTTAAAAAAAAAAAAACCAGCCGGTTGCGGGGCGAGGGCGGGGGACTAAGATCCCCGCCCCATACCTGCCCCATAACTGCCCCGTTTAATATTTTAAATTACTAATTTATCCTACCATGTTAATATATTTACCAAATTAACCTTCGCACACACTCTCTCTTTATATATATTGGAAACCCTACACTTAACACTTCCATATATATATGTGTGTGTATATGTGCTATGATTATATTTAAATAAAAATATAATCGGTTATGGGGCGGGTGATGGGGTGGGGGCGGGGCAAGTGGGGTGGGGCGGTTATGGGGATTAGAGGCAAAAAATTAACCGGTTATGGGGCGATTTTGGGGCACCAAAATTAAACGGGGGCAGGGATGGGGAATGGGAAACCCGCCCCAAACCGCCCCATTGCCATCCCTTCATGTGGGTCCCACCACTTTTAATTAACTTTTTATTTTATTTTCCTTTTAATTTTTCCACCACAAAATTATATACATGCATACAACCATATAAAACCCACATAAACACATTAAATAAAATATATGAGATGTAAATGGATCCAACTAAAATTCTTATACTCAAAAAGCGAAAAAATATAAAAATAACAACCCTTACATTTCAAAGAGTTCTGAACTCAATGAAATGCCCCAAATAACTCTCTGACACTCTCAGCACATCCCAGGGTGTCCGGCACACAACATGTGAAAAGACGAAAATGCCCTTGCGAAAATATTAAATTCCAAAAAAATAAAGAATGGCAAAAATCGAAAATATTACAATTAATGTATATAATAATTATTATTATTATTTTTAAATTACATTTGTTGTTGTTTAAAATTTTCCCCGCATAAAATTAGAGTCCATTAATTTACCCCAAAAACAAAAAAAAAAATTAGAGTCCATACTATAAAAACTTTTGGAGCCGGTCTAGAAAATCCTTTACTGGTGGTCTTCGTCTTCCCCTTGCTTGCAATAATTGTTTTCACTTTGATGGTACCCGTTGAAAATAACAATTAAAAAAGTCCATGAAAGCGTGTTTGTGTGTGTGTGTGTGTGTGAAAGCATCATTTGCTACGCATCAATGTCAAATAGTACCGTGAATAACAAAACCCATATAAAAAATTGATGAAAAATCAAACCACTGTCATACTGAATTCCAAAGTCTATGGCCCATACTCGTCATGGGAAGCTTCCCTATAATTTAAATTTATTCTAAATTGACTCACTATTACAAGTCTCTGTCTTTGCCTATTTTTGGAGAAAAAAAAAATGATTTACTTATTACAATTACAACTCAACAAAACAACAAATTGAATCAACTAATATTCAATTGTGAAGTTGGTAACGGAATATTTTCCCACTTTTTATAAAAAAATGATTAGATTTCTTTATTTTCTTGTCTCCTTAGTTCTCTATTCTCCTTTTTTTTTTTCTTTTTTTTTTTCAATTTAAAATTATATTACATGCTATGCTGGTAAAAGAAACACTTGTCCTCATAATTTTGAACTATCAATGACATTTTTTTTTTTTTTTTTTATAAAAAAAATTGGTACTCATATATACGAGTCTCCACCGAGAGGTGAACTCCTGACCTCCTTTTAAAATGTAAGAGTCTGATATCGCTAAACCACTAACCTGTTGTGCATTTTTGTTAATGTTAATTCGTATACAAACGATTATTTGTTATGTGAACTCTAGAAACATCATATCTAAAAATAGGAGCAGCAAATTAACAGTAACACGGTGTTAAAACGTGGACCTGACACATGTTAGAGTATTAATGAAGTCATTTGTAGGCAATTTGTACCAAATTAGAGTCCCTACTTAATGGAAAAGTTTTGGACCCAGGTCTAGAATATAATCTTTACCGGTCTTCCTCCTCTTGCTTACAATAATTGTGTTTAGTCTAATGATGGTACCCTTTGAAAATAGCAATTATAAAAGTACATGAAATCAGAGTTTGTCACACGTTAATTACAACTTGACCAAGTCATGAGCCATCCCTAACATTCTGAAGCTTCCAAGTAGACGGTAATGAAATTACTTATGAAACTTCTTAGTAGGTAATAATGAAAATTAATTCCACATTGACTTACTTGTACCAAGTCTTTCTCTTTGTTTAAGCTTTTAGTGGGCGAATCATTTTATTATATATCTAAATTTCAACTTACAAGCAAATGAAACTCCTCCTCTTTAGTGTCCACTAGTCTAGTTCTTGTTGTTGAGTTTTCAAGCAGACCTAACCAAGCAGAGAAGATGGCTCAATCTTCCTTGTGTGTAACAATCTCGTACTTAAACTAATGTCACTGTGAAGTCTGAGGATTATCATATCTAACTTCCATATTTTTCACATTTTTGTTGCAGGTTCAGCAGTGGAATAGATATTGCAAATGTGGTGGTGATGAGCTCAGATCTCCTCCAACAATCATGGACAAAAAATTTAGACCCTAATAGTGATACAAATTTGTCTCCCTCTCTTAAGTACAGAGTTTATCCACATGGACCACATCAACCCCTTGGTACTATTGTGGCTTTTGGCTCTTCACCTACTTGTACTGTGCATCATCTTGAAGGAGAAGGCAGAGAACTAATTTCATCAGAAACTCTTAGAGGAGAGGCTTTTCCTTACTTTGATTTTCTCTTCACCAAAAGGACCCAAGCCTTCTCCATTCACAAAGCTGCAATTTTCCTTTTTCGATCTCGCTACGATGATCTTCTTCTCCTGAAAAACCAGCTGGTAACACTTCTCAACTTCTATCTGTTATGTTAGTTATGGCAGTTGTGTCAATTTGCAGCCCAATGGGTGTCACCAAAACAGGAAATCAATTTTCATTTAGGACACAATTTGTTTGGGATAAGTGCAAAAAAAACCCCTTCATACATATGAATAGTGTAAAATTAGTTTCTATTTTTTTAGAATGTGCACGTTAGCACATAAAATTCAAAAACTAAATATGAAAACTTTATTTTGCCTTTTTAATTTCAATTTTGCCCCTCACACATTAGTATACACTAAACGGCCCGGCTCGCCCGAGATGTGACCTGATTATCACCGAAAACTTTGCCGGAATCGGATTTTCGTCGAAAAAAACGAGTGGGGCACGTGACAGAGCGTGGCGTGAGATCTACGCGCTATATTTCAGGTGGCGCGTGCAAACGCGTGTAACGTTGTTTGTGGCTTTTATTTACAGCGTTGTGTTCGTCTTGATCTCGTGGATCTTATTCTGCGATTAATATGTGATTTTGATCACCTTTAATTTATGCTTTGCTGGCTCTCTGTAAAGTTCCATCAAAGCTCAAGAACCCAAGAGATCCATCAATAACAAGCCCTAAAAGCAACCATACCAATAGAATCAAAGCTCAGTTGTCGACTATAACGGTGATAAGGTCCTCTCTTTCTTCAAGCTTGAGCTTGGGAATGACGTTCCTTATCTGAGCCTCGATCTGGTCCATCTTATAGTACTCACCTTCTGGAATTGGGATTGACCCAAAGTACTTCCTCGAACCAAAGCTCCATCAAAACCGTCTTCCACTTCTTCAGCTTTGATGTGGAGAAAGTGGGTTTCAGCCCAAACCCTCAAATCGTCCTTAGAAATACCAGGTAAATCCACCGTCGCCATAAACGAGTCCTCTCTGTCTTTGTCAATTGGTTAAGGAGATGCCTTCGGGCATTGAGCATCTAACCAAACTTCAATCGCTTTATTTGGTTGATATGCCTATTGAATTGTTTAGGAAGCTAGATCAAAGCAGAGGAGGTGCAGATTACTGGAAAGTATCTCATATCCCAGAGGTTCGATTTGCAGCCTTTGTAGACGGTGATTGGGAGGTGTACAAAATCTGAGAAACACGGTGCAAGAGAGATGAAGGCGATCATAGATTACCTCAACTGCCCACATTGCCTTTTCCTTTTTCCATTTCAGGCTTTTTTTTTTTTTTTTTCATAGCCAGAGGAAGAAGGTTGGTTATAAGAACCACTGAATTGTTCACCATCCATTGGCCCACTTCGGAACTTCTTCGATAGAACCATAAGTTGGTTTTTTTTTTTTTTTTTGAAGGTGAATAAAATGGTCATTTTACCCGGGTTGTATTTATAATTATTAATTTATTCAATTGAAGTGAAGGTATTATCGACATTTTATACCATATAGGGACCTATTTGCACCAAATTGATAGTATAAGAATTTTTTTTGACATGCATTATGTCAATGGTCGAGAGGTTTTTTTTGCACTTAACCCCAATTTGTTTCAGGTTAACCATTCAAATTAGATTGATAGAACTTGGAAAAATCGAAATGCCAGATACTAATTTTGAGGTATGTTTGCATGATTGCATCTTTTACGCAGCTTGACGTTATGACCAATACGTCCACTCGTATAATTATCACAGGACACTCGATAGGGGGTTCCATTGCCTCCCTCTTCACCTTATTTCTGCTTGAAAGCATTCCCCCGAAAGCCAAACGCCCCCTTTGCATCACTTTTGGCTCACCCCTTATTGGTGACTCTGGCTTCCAACAAGCTGTACTCGCACGCCCAACTTGGACTTCATGTTTTCTGCATGTAGCCTCTAACTGGGATCCGATCCCCAAACTTTTCGTCTCAACTTCCCAAAATGGAAGTTACCAACCATTTGGTACATTTCTCTTGTGTTCTGAATTCGGCTGTGCCTGTTTTGAGGAACCTGAATCAGTTTCGGAATTGCTAGTGGCAATGAGGTCGGATGGTGTTGGAAATCAAGACCCTAACAACTATACATGGAGTTTGGAATGCCTCAAATCGAAGACAATCTGTAAGGGGAGTTCAGGGCTGACTGGCATGCCAAGTACTCTTCGCGGAGGAATTATCACACAACTAGAAGCAATTGGAATTAAGAACTCACAGTCACAGGTAACAACTCAATCCTATTCTAGTTGATTCATTCTAAGATGTCATCAAAATAATGGCACTATCTCACTACAAATTTACCAAAGCTTAAGCATGTTGAAGCGGAATTTGTAATGTGGAGAATTTTGTGTCTTTTTTTATATCTCTACCATGTTTCTCACCTCATTTTTCCAAATCATAGCTGCAGCAATGGGGAAACGACGACATCAATGCTCTCATAACAAACATTGAGCAGAGAACCGAGAATCTTATAATTCAGAAGAGATCTGCTTTTGATCCCAACAAACAACTAAATGACAGGAAAGTAGATATGACCCAACTTGAATGGTACAAGAAGGTCAGAGCCGGTGACAGAGGCTACTACGATAGTTACAAGAACGTGTTGGACCAAATTCGGGAACATATTGTCAAGAACCACAAAAAACTCACCCTTTACTGGAAGAAAGTGGTTGAAGAGGCAGATAAGTTGCCCAAGAAGGAGGGAGGATCCTTTCGCACGCGCTGGCTCTACGCAGGAACAAACTATAGAAGGATGGTTGAACCACTTGACATAGCTGATTACTATAGGAAAGGTAAAAGGGACTACATAACTCAAGGAAGATCTGCACATTATGTCTTCTTGGAGAAGTGGTTGAATGATGATACTAATCCAGAAGTTCAACGAAACAATGCAAGTGTGAGAACTGCAGCTTGCAATCTTACTGAGGATTCTTGCTTTTGGGCACATGTTGAGGAGGCTATTCTTTCATGCAAGTCATTCCAGGCTAGAGAAACCAGTCCGGCAGATCAAGAATCCTCAAGGGTGAAGTTGAAGGAGTTCGATCGCTACGCAATGAATTTGATAAAAAATTTTGGGGTATCCACTGAGATTTTCTTGGCACAGAGCAGCTTCATGCAATGGTGGGAGGAGTATGATAAGATAATGGGAACTGAATATAATTCAGAACTCATTGATTTCATAAGAAGTGGCAGACATCAACAATATGCTTAGTGTTGGAGGCTCTTCTCTTCTGATGCATAAACCTAACTAATTAAGCTTGTGTTAATCTTGTATTCTTCTTCTATATATATGTGTGTGTGTTTATGAACTTGGCTGTGCCAATTGTCTTGTACTATGAATATTTTCCCAATTAAATAAAAAAAAGGATTAGATTTCTTTCTTTTCTTGGCTCCTTGGTTATTTATTTATTTTTTTTTATTTTTATTTTTTAATTTACATTTATATTACATGCTATGAAAGTAAAAGAAACACTTGGACACATAATCTTGAACCCTCAATGACATCGTATGTGAAGTTAACATTGTGTCAATGTAGAAAGATTGGGTCTAAAAATATGAGCAACAAATTAACTGTAATGCATTGTTAAAACTTGGCACCAGAGTCACGTTAGTTAGAGTATTAATGAAACCATTTCTAGGCAATTTGTACCAAATGTTGAAATTATGGCCAAAACACTAATAAAATAAGTTACGCACTACGCCAAGAAAGAAGATGATGAAGAGAAAATGACATTTATATTTTTGTCTGCTTAAATAAGTCCAGTATTAAATTATATGAATGTCCCTTTGTATTTCATATAATATTCTAAATTATTTAAAATTAAGTCAATCAACCAAAATGTGTAAAATGATTTGTTAAAAATTAATGGGTATGTTATTTTTGTTAGATAATAATATATATATATTTATAAATATTTTATGACAATTAAATATTAAAAAATAAAAAAATATTTTATATCTGAACAGTCGAATCTTTACCGATCTAGAATATAACCTTTACTGGACTTTCCTCTTTCTTGCAATAATTGTGTCAGTGTAATGATTCCCTTTGAAATAGCAATTAGGTAAGTACGTGAAATCGAACTTTGTCACACACTAATTACAACTGGTGTCATGATTTACAAAACTCATAGAAAAAATTGATAAAAACAAAAAGCAAATCACTGTCATACTTTATTCCAAGTCATGTCGTTGTATTCTTCCCTGTAATTTAAATTTATTCCACATTGACCATTGCAAGTCTTTTTCTTTATTTAAATTTAGGGGCAAAAATACCACCAGCATCAAAAGTTGAAGTTACAGATAGGATAAAACACAAAAACAGTAACCCATAACATATTTCATCTGTTCCCAAATAAAAAAATATATATATATATATATATAAATTGTCATACTTTATTTTTTTTTGATTTTTTTAAAAATAATTGTCCACTTTTTTGTTTTTTCAAACAATATATTTTAGAATGTTTTATATATATCTTTTGAATTAAAAATTTTAAATTTAAATATTCAAAACTTAAAAAGACAAATTAATAACATTTTAGAGAGACAATGCATGCCTTTACGTGTCTTTTAAAAAATTACAGTATTACTTTTCAAAAATGACACTTAAATTAGGTCGAAAGAAACAGTTAAAAACAATTTAAATTTGTTGCAAACTCACAAAGTGCAATCAATTAATAATATAAATGAAAAACACACACCACAGTGGGTTCTGACTATATAGCCCATGTACACAATAAAGATAGATGAAAATATTTGAAGGAAAAAAAGAGATTTACGGTCTCTTCAACCTTAATCCCAAATATATTCTTTTTGTGTTTTATACTCTTACCCATTTTAGATTTTTAGTATTTTAAGAATACAAACCTTTCTTACCGGATATAATAGAGACTTAAAATCGAATAGAAACCGTAAGACAAAAAATGGTTAAAAAAAATTTTGGGTCAAAATCCGGTGAAACAAGAGATTTGAAGCCACAATAATGACCAAAAATAAAACATAAATAAATTGCATATTTTCTGGGCTCACCTAACTATGATTTTGACTGTTGTGGTTGAAGCATGGAGGTAATAATAATATTTTACAATGTTTAAGAAGTCATGTGTGGAATTAAACCGACTAGTGAAAACAAAGTAATCTGTACGGACAGACAGCGTTTGGTCATTGCATTGAAATTAATAATGTTCCAACAATATTTTTAAATCTTGTTAAAAATATTCAAATCACTATTCTACACTGGTACCAAGCCATGGGCCATCACTAGCACTGTGAAGGTTCCGAGTAGACAGTAATGAAAATTACTTGTGAAGCCCCCCAGTAATGAAAATCTATTCTTCTTTCTTCTTCTTTTTTCTTTCTTTTTTTTTTTTTTTCCAAATTTATTATTCATTGACTGACTAAAACAAAGTCTTTCTCTTTGTTTAATTCTTGGTGGGCAAATCATTTTATTATATACCAAAATTACAAGGAAATGAAACTCATTCTCTTTATTGTCCATCTCTTCTTGCCGAGTTCTCAAGCAGACCTAACCAAACAGAGAAGATGAATCAATTTTCCTTGTCTGTAACAATCTCATGCTTTCTTTTATTTTGTTTTATATATAACAAAGCTATGTAAATTTATCAAACAAGACAGATAATAATCATGTCTAACTTCCATTTTTTTCTTTTCACTTTTTGGTTGCAGGTTCAGCAGTGGAATAGAGTCAGCAAATTTGGTAGTGAGCTCAGATCTCCTCCAACAATCATGGAATGAAAATGAAAAATTGAAACTTAACGGGGACAACAATCAAAGTGATCCAAATTTGCTTCCCTCTCTTAAGTACAGAGATTATATACATCAACTCTTTGGTACTATTGTAGCTTTTGGAACTTCACCCACTTGTACCGTACAACATTTTGAAGGAGTAGGCAGAGAACTAATTTCATCAGAAACTCTTAGAAGAGATTCTTTTCCTTGCTTTGATTTCTCAGGACCAAAAGCAACCAAGCCTTCTCCATTCACAAAGACGCAATTTTCCTTTTTCGATCTCGGTACAAGGAGCTCTCTGAACTGAAAAAAAAGCTGGTAACACTTCTCAACTTCTATTTGTTGTGTTAGTTATGGCAGTTTGTGATAATTGACCAATTTGAGAAAGATTAGACCATATCAAAATGTGTGTGTGTTGTGTTTGTCATTCTGATCCTGTGGTATGACTCAAATGAATGCATAATCAATTACCCTTTTGGTTGCCTTTATCAAATTTTACAGAACAATTCAGTAGAACAGATGTCTGCAGCTCATTGCAGTTATTGCATAAACAATGGGGGTGTGTGTATCTGTGTGTTGGGGGAGGCTGGCCTTCTGATCACAAGCATGATTATATTAGTATCAAGATTGACATTACATATCATTTCTAGTTCATGGAATATTAGTTTCATAATGAGCAAATCCAAACCCCAACTGATATTGGGATTCATTGTAGCCTCATAGTCAACATTGGCGGCACTTGTACCACAAAACAAATGATGACAATTAGACACCTTTGCATTGAAATATTTGCAGCCCAATGGGTGTCACCAAAACAGGAAATCAATTTTCATTTAGGACACAAATGTTTCATGTTAACCATTCAAATTAGATTGATAGAAGAACCTGGAAAATTCGAAATGCCAGATACTAATTTTGAGGTATGTTTGCATCTTCTATGCAGCTTGACATTATGACCAATACGTCCACTGGTATAATTATCACAGGACACTTGATAGGGGGATCCATTGCCTCCCTCTTCACCTTATTTCTGCTTGAAAGCATTTCCCCGAATGCCAAACGCCCCCTTTGCATCACTTCCGGGTCACCCCTTATTGGTGACTATGGCTTCCAACAAGCTGTACTCCAACGCCCAACTTGGACTTCTTGTTTTCTGCATGTAGCCTCTAACTGTGTTCCGATCCCCAGACTTTTCGTCTCAACTTTCCAAAATGAAAGTTACCAGCCATTTGGTACATTTCTCTTGTGTTCTGAATCCGTTTCGGAATTGCTAGTGGCAATGAGATCGGCTAGTGTTGGAAATCAAGATCCTAACCACTATACAAGGATTTTGGAACGCCTCAAGTGGAAGGCAATCCGTAAGGGGAGTTCAGTGCTGACTGGCCTGCTTAATACTCTTCGAGGAGGAATTGTCACACAACTAGATGCAATTGGAATTAACAACTCACAGGTAACAACTCAATCCTATTTCAAGTTGATTCATCCTTTTAAGATATGGTGTTTAACCCGTCACAAGGTAGAAATTAGGAATGCACACAATTCAGATTGAAGCGGTATGGGAATATTTTAGAACCAAATTGTTTCTAACGGTTCCATTTTTTAACCGAACGGGACCATAAAGTCAATGAAACCGAACCAATCCAAACCTTGATAAAACAGTTTGATTTGTTTCAGTTTCACGGTTCTAGACTTTTTTATAATTCGATCTAATATATATATATATATATATATATATATATATATAATTAAAAAATGGTTCAGTTCGGTCAGGTTTGGTCTTGTAAAATCTTAAACCTTAATTAAACCGTTTACAAACGGTTTCATGTTTTTGAAACCCGAACCAAACAAAATTGTAAAAAAACCAATCCAAACCTACCAGTCCAGTTCGGTTCAACCGATTTTTGTGCACTCACAGTATAAATCGTATAAGAAGAAAATCATAGAAAGCATTATTTAGACTCATCAATATAATGGCATTCTTTCACTACAAACTTATTAAAGCTGAAGCACGTAGAAGCAAAATTTGTAATGTTAAAAAAATTGTGTCCTTTTGATGATGTTTTTACTTGTTTCTCGCCCCATTTTTCCAAATCACAGCTGCAGCAATGCGGAAACACTGACATCAACGCTCTGATAACAAAAGTTGAAGATAGAACAAAGGCTCTTATAGATCAGAAGAGGGCTGATCCCAACAAAAAACTAAATTAAAGCAAAATAGACATGGCCAGAATTGAATGGTACAAGAAGGAATATACATGTAATAGAGGCTACTACGATAGTTACAAGAACGTGTTGGACCGAAGTCGAGTAAATGTTGTCCAGTACCATAAAAGACTCACCAATTACTGGAAGAAAAAGGTTGAAGAGGCAGATAAGATGCCCCAGAAGGAGGGAGCAGCCTTTCGTACGCGCTGGCTCTATGCAGGAACAAACTATAGGAGGATGGTTGAACCGCTTGACATAGCCGAATACTATGGGAAAGGTAAAAGGGACTACATAACTCAAGGAAGATCTGCACATTATGTATTGTTAGAGCAGTGGCTGAATGATGATACTAAACCAGAAGTGCAACGAAACAATGCAAGTGTGAGAACTGCAGCTTCAAGTCTTACTGAGGATTCTTGCTTTT